CCCCTAAGACATCTCGACCCATGACACTTAGACCCCTAAGACACTAAGACCCCTTAAATTAACCTGACATTTTGACCCCTAATTCTATAATGTACTTGAAGAAGTTAACTTCGAAAAAATAATGTGCATATAGACGTTAATATAGAAAAAATGTAAATGTGTTTACAAGTTTGATTATTATGTAAATATAGAAAAAAATGGAATAATAATATGGAATAATAATATCTGTCAAGCCTCGTTACCGCCAAATGGGCGGGTCACCTCGGGACGGATATTCCGATCCGAAGCGCAAACATAATTATGTCAGATATTTTTTCTTGCATATTCTACCATATTCCATTATATTTTAAATTCTTTATTCTTTATTTTCAATGAAAATTTATATCATTACAATCGTAACTACTTTCATTCAACAGCGTATGAATTACAAAATCATTCATAATGGTAAAATGACGTCATCTTTATCGTGCCAGTGTACAGCACGCGACTCATCTGGAACCCCCCATGCCAGATGAAATTTCCGGCACGGAAACGCCAGTCTGATATGCAAGAAATGTGTTTACAAGTTTGATTATTATATATAATCTAACAGATATACTTAAGAAATAACATCGGTCTGAGAGGTGTATATCGGCTAATTAACACCGGTTTGGAGTTTTGATGCGTAGGAATTGACCACGAAGGCCGTAGGCCTGAGTGGTTAATTTTGTCGCATTAAAACGATAAAACCGGTGTTAAATAGCCGATATACACCTCTCAGGCCGATGTTATTTCGATTCTAACACGATGAAATAAGGAAAATCACTAATGTTATTTTTCAAGCGGTAATAACTTCCGGTGCCGATTTTCGTATAACGCTGTTCGATTTTCGCACCGACTGTTGCGAAGATATAGAAATTATTAAATAAAAGAAATAATAAGAAAAACGTTATTTTATCAAGTTTTCAACAATAAAAACTTACGTCGTATTGTGTTTACATCAGTGCCCCATTTATCATTCTTGTCTGTATGAAATAACGTCAGCTTGTTTATGAATGAGTTGTATACTTAGGATGCTTACGGATTGGCACCGTTTTGTCAAAATATTTGGCGTCCGCTCTTTCCAGTGGCGAGGGTAAACAAACGCAAACACACAAAATCCGTTGCTATTAATAACCACGGTCATAAAGAAATAACAAGTAATATTCTAATCTCTAGCATGCCAATCAAAGTTCATAATGAACAATGTCTTTCGTCCGCTCATTCATAAGTGATATACAATTCTGGTAAAAACCATTGAAAAGTTTATAAGAATATCTTGTCATCATATGTCTACTAGTTCATCTTCACTTGCTGCATTTCTTGCTTGGACGCCCTTTGATGCTTTGCATCAATGCTTTTCTTGTTATTAACTGATATGGATCTAATATGTGGCGTTAGTGTATGTGAGATATTATTTCGGAATAGTATGAAAAGAAAACATTATACGAACTGAAAATATAAATAAAAATGATTTTCATTGTTGCTTTAAACTGCTTTGTAAACTATACAATCGAGGGTGAAAACATAACAGCGCATATACAAGTAGTCCCTAACCGGTGTTTATTGGCAGTTTAACACCAGTTGTTTTCCTTCTTTGTCTATAGTGACAAAATCACGTGATTGTTAGAATGAATAATAAGTGATAATAAGTGAAATCGCATGAAGCCGTAATTTGTTATACACAATCAGTTATCAAGTCAAATACGAGGGTTGTTCGGGAAGTTCTGAGAATTTTGTCATATCTCCTATATTTTTTGTTTCTAAGACGTAATATTTTGCACATACTAAGATTAGCATATCACGGAACTTTTCCTAAAAGTTGAATAGAATCAGACAACAATAGCCGGAAATAGCAGTAACCATAGCAACACTATAACGCCGCACCGGAGCAGTCCGACTCTAAAGAAAGGTATAACGCGCTACACTAATAATATTTCGTAATTTTGATAACGTAAAAAATGCGCGAAAACGCTGGTCAGCAGCGGAACGTCATGACATCATTTCCTGAAAATATCATAACGTTATTTAAATTCTCAACGAATCAACATTGTTTTAAAGTTGTTGCCCAGAGCCACTGAGTAAACAACATGACGTCGATAGGTGACGTTGAATTTCAAAGCATCGTGAAATTTTGTGTTGCGCTGGAAAAGTCTTCCACAGAAACAATGAAAATGATCAATTCTACAGGAAAATACAAGAAATGCAGTCCGGCTACAGTGTATAGATGGCATGCTCGTTTTAAAGAAGGAAGAAACTCGATCGAAGACGATCCTACAGCCCGGACCTCGCTCCGATGGACTTCCGTGTGTTCCCGGAGCTCAAATCACAGCTGCGTGGAAAACGCTTTGACTCAGCTGCCCAGCAAACACAAGACGTCATACTGACGTCAGATTTAAGTCAGGTTCTGACGTCGGATGACGGTCGGAAAAACGGTTGGATTTGAATGTATTTTTGACGTAATAATCTGACGTCAGGTAGACGTCAGAATCTAACCATTATTTAACCTTTTTCTGACCAAAATCTGACCATTATCTAACCATTTTCCGACCGCAATCTGACCATTTTCCGACCACAATCTGACCATTTTCCGACCTAAATCTAACCAGTTTCTAACCATTTTCCGACCTCAATCTGACCATTTCCGACCTAAAATTTAACCCTTTTCTGCCCTAAATCTGATCATTTTCTGACCTTCATCTTATCATTCCCCTAATCTTTTTTTGTTTCACCACGTCATAAATATTTTCTGGCTAATCCTGATTTGATCGAATTTAATTTAACTCATTCTATTAAGTAACTTTCCCTCAAATGAAATGTATAACAGAGAACTAAAAGCAAAAATATGTTTCATGCTCTTTTAATTTAAAATAAAAGTTGCAAATTTAAGCTGATATATACAATTTTAGTAAATTCTGCAAGGTTAAATAATTTTCATAAATTAAACAAAATAAAACATAAAATAAGTTAATTACAAAACAAAAAGTATTACAAAAACAATGACATAAATGAAACTAAGAAAACATGTACAAATATTAAAGAACAAAACAATGTATGCACATTTCTTATCAAATAAAATAATGAAAATATTATAATTTTAAGAAAAGTTAAAAGATTCTGATAATAATGTTTAAAGCAATTTATGACAGATTTTCAGTACTTTAACTATATTTCTACAGCATTTCTAAAACATTTAGTGCCATTTTGCATATTTTGACCTCCTTTGATAATTGTCAGTAATGTATAAATTGCTGTCTTAGTTACTTCACAAAGTTATACTTTTAGATATCCATGAGAATTAGCACGAATTTGAGGTGTGATGCTTTAAGATATGACCTTCTTTCAGCACCCCTCGTCTGTCCGGAGGATATGTAGCGTTTGTAGCGCCCAATAGCGTGTGTGACATCATTTTCACTGAAAAAAAGAGAAATTTATGAAACATGTAAAAATAACAAGCAAAAATGTTTTCATGGTTATCTTAACTTAATGTACAATTTTGCCAACTTTTTATAAGAGAGCTTTAACAAAAATTAAAAGTAAACATAAATGCTGAACATTTAAAAAGCCGCTTTTAAACTCCAGTTTAGTATGGATTAAAGTATGTAATAGAATTTACAAAAATCTTACTTTCATATGTTTCTTTTTACATATTCACGTGTTTCCGTCCCTCCGACCTTTGAGAGCATGTCCAACACTTTAACTACCTGAAAAGAAAATTATATTATAACTTATGTACTGTATATATTCTACGTTTGAAATAGAACAGTTAAGGAAGTCTTAAATATTTCATAGTTTTGAATTAAAGCTTTAATGCCGAAATGTCTGGAACCAAAACGTCTTTGGTTATTTGGGACCGGAACGTTTTGGGTTATTTGGGACCGAAACGTCTTGGTCCGAAATGCTCGAAATCGTACAAATTCATTCTCAATTCTCAAATTTTAACTGACAAAAACATCACAGTTTAAGAGAAATATGAAAACTAAGCATTCTCTTTGGTAGTACTGAAAGGCATATTATAAACTCTTCACAAGCAGAGTTAAAACATGTCAATTTTAAAAAGATTTATTATTAGACATTATCGCGAATTTGTGTGACATTTTACTTCAGCTGTTCAAATAATGATAATTAAATTAAAGAGTGCTTGCAATCATGCAATTATTTATCAAATACAAAGTAGAAATGAATCTAAATAAATTAAACTGACCTTTTTGTTCAAGAAAATCTATAATATTCACTTATCAATGCATCCCGATTCCTGACCGACAGCCAAAACGTAACGCCTACGAATTTGAATTTCCATCCACGTGACTTTAGATTCGAATTATAGGTTAATTATGTTTTCTTTTCCTTTTTCTATCACTATGATTAAATGTTAAAGCACTATTAAAAACTCGTAATTTTGATACATATAATGTACCACAAATGATAATATTACAACATTAAATGATTGGAACTTGTAAACAGATCTGTGGCTATAAATAGATTTCATAACAATAACACATGTAACTTGCCTATATACAGCGCCACCTATATGTTTTATTAGGTTGCAGCGCCTCGATCTTGGTCTGTATTTATATAAGAACACTTCATTTGTAATCCAAATAACATTTGAAAATTTTTTTAAATGATTACAACAGCGAATAAGGATTATTTTTTGTTATTTTTTTACCTACCATCAGGACACCGACCAGAACCAGACGTTAGTACGACGTCAAAAAGAAACGTCTATTAGACATCGGTATTTTAACGTCAGATTTACGTCGTATTTTGGTCGCCGACGTCGTGACCAAAATCTAACATTATTCCGACGTTATTTTAACGTCATGTGTTTGCTGGGTGACGATCTTGTTAAGCATACGCAAGCTATAGTCTCGTCCTTTACCGATAGCTGGTACGTGGAAACATACAATAAGTGAATCAGTCGACATAGGAAATGCATAGAAATTGCAGGTGACTACGTTGAAAAGGTGCGACGATCGATGGACTTTAACGTCGCATAACGTTGCAAATGACGTCGGCGTGCTCCGGGTGTTTGTTATATGGTTATTTACTATTTTTATTATGTTTTAGTTTCTGTGTGTATGATGATGATATTTTCAGATACTGTACAGTTTATATTGAAATAAATGCGTATATATTTATATTTACGCTTACCCGACTACAACGTGTGCTATAAAACAATTCTCAGAACTTCCCGAACAACCCTCGTATTGTATATAAGGAATGAAAACAGACGCACAACATTTAAACAGAATATATATATACATAATATCATAAATAACAGTACTTATTTATAACTGCAATAGAAATTGTAAACATTACTTTTTATCTCGACTATTCGATAAGAATAAGTAGAGCATTGTAGTCACCCGAGCGTCGGCGTCTGCGTCGGCGTCGGCGTAAACACTTATGTTAAAGTTTTTGTAATAGTTGAAATATTTTCAAAGTCCATTGACATATGGCTTTGAAACTTTGCACACTTGTTCACCATCATGACCCCAACCTGTAGACAGGAGGAGGTAACTCTATCAAGCATTTTGACAGAATAATGCCCCTTTTTCGACTTAGAATTTACGTTAAAGTTTTTGTAATAGTTCAAATATTTTCAAAGTCCATTGACATATGGCTTTGAAACTTTGCACACTTGTTTACCATCATGACCCCAACCTGTAGACAGGAGGAGGTAATTCTATCAAGCATTTTGACAGAATTGTGCCCCTTTTTCGACTTAGAATTTACGTTAAAGTTTTTGTAATAGTTCAAATATTTTCAAAGTCCATGGACATATGGCTTTGAAACTTTGCACACTTGTTCACCATTATGACCCCAAACCTGTAGACAGGAGGAGGTAACTCTATCAAGCATTTTGACAGGATTATGCCCCTTTTTCGACTTAGAATTTACGTTAAAGTTTTTGTAATAGTTCAAATATTTTCAAAGTCCATTGACATATGGCTTTGAAACTTTGCACACTTGTTCACCATCATGACCCCAACCTGTAAACAGGAGGAGGTAACTGTATCAAGCATTTTTTTTACTATCAAGCACTAAGAACAGTCGAGCGTTGCTGTCCTACCGACAGCTCTTGTTATGATATACATATCAGTCGTTCTGTAATTCACCTTTTTCTAAGCAAATGTTGTCAATATTTCCATGTGCACTTGTAAATTTCTGTTAATCGAACTACTAATATCAGGAAATCTTAGACTTATTGGTTCTTTAAATACATGTACTATATTTTAATGAAAAAAACATGTACGTGTGTTATTTTTTTTTCGACGACGTTAGTATCGATAACTTTTTTATCGTTACAAATCAAATTAAAAATTACGAAAAGTAACAAAATACTCCATGAGACTCAGGTCAATATTGACAAAAACTAAGTTATGTTAAATTATAAAAATCCTTATCTGGTACTGAAATATGATAAACAAGATCAACAAGGAAAGTCGGCGAGTAAAATCATAATATCATTAATAACAGTACAGTATTAATGTACCAACAATAAACGGGATCATCTTTATTTTTCACCAGTGTATAGAATCAACAAGTGTTGTGTTTTTGCTCTTTTTTTTTTTCGTCTTCATTAATTTCCATATGACATTTGTGTTTACATTTTAATTTAATGGTATTAATTACATAGAGGATTAAGAGGTTAATACACGGCAGGAGAGGGCCGCAAGGTGATAATCGGCCCGCAAAAAGAATAATGGACCCGAGGGCTTTAGCCCGAGGGCCAATATTCATTCAGGGCCGATTATCACCTTCCGGCCCTACTCTGACGTGTATTAATGTATTTAATACACTTGGTAGATCTAATAGTAGCATTAAAAAAAAAACAACAACAACAAAGTTCTTTCGTTGAAATTCTTGTCTACTCTTCTACTGTTCTGTACAGAGATGTTTACTGTTTGTGTGTTCAAAGCAGTAGAATCTAGAAGCAAGTTTTATTTTCATTTTTTTCGGAATGAATTTGTCGTATTATTTCTTCAAATTTCAATAGTAACAAAAATGTGTTTGTACTAAATACGCTTAAGCTCTCATAATAAAAATAAAGGGATTTGTGCTGACAACCTATTTTCACTTTTACAGTTAACTGTTTGATGACGAAAAATATGACGTCATTGTTTCAGTTTGTGCACGTGCACATGTTCTGCGGGCTGATAACTAGTTCTTGGCCCCGTGCCGCAAACTCATAATAGGTCACGTGACACTCATAATCAGTTGAAATCATAGGCAATTTTGTTACTATATATATTAACAAGTGTAGTTCAGTGTAAGATCGGAATATATTTCACCGAGTGAGCACCAAAAGGTATATTTCACGAGTGGCGCAGCCACGAGTGAAATATGAACTTTTGGTGTTCACAAGGTGAAATATATTTCGATCTTACACTAAACTAAACAAATTTTCTTTTTATTATATGCAAAGAAACGTTTTAAAAAGACATTAAACCTTATACTGAATGAAAAGCGCGCCAAATAATAATACAACGTGACGTAATTTACGACGTCACGTCATTAAGTTGGTACCCAGTTCTGTGCACGCTGGTATTTCACTGAAACAACGTGAGGGGCTTAAATTCAAAACAGTGAAATTATCAAAGTGGTAATTTCACTGTTTCAAACAGTGAAATTACCAGTTTTATATCACTGATATATTTCTATAAACCACCGAAAAGCATGTAATAAATGCATGGTATCGATGCATCAATGCTCATGCTCTTACCATGTCTGTCCGCTGCTATTGAATGTATGCCTATGAATACGTAATATGTTTATGTATTTAAATAAAATAATTAAATTGAATGTTACGTATAACAATTCCTTTCCCAATAGTAGGTTTTGACATTTTTCTTGAACATGTCAAAAGTCGAAGACTGTCTTATATACAGAGGCAATTTATTCCAGAGAGTTGGACCAACGGTACTAAAACTTCTGTCGTTAAAAGTTTTCCTTCTGTTAAAGGGGACAGCAAAACAATAATCCATATTATCAACAGATCTCACATTTGGTCTTTTTATGACAGGTTTGTGTAACAATTCTGTTAGATAAACCGGAGCATTGCCAATGAAACAGTTATACATTGTACATAGCATTTTAAAATTGATTCTAGCTTTAATTGGTAACCAATGCAGTTCAAACAAAGAGTCTTTGGAGCTATCATATTTTCCGCGTTGCAAAACAAGTTTAGCGCACATATTCTGGATACGCTGTAATTTCTGTAACTCACTTTCTGAAATGCCAAACAATATAGCGTGGCAATAATCCAAATGTGAGATTACAAGCAACAATACTAGGAAATGTGTGGCGTCCTGAGTCAGATATTTGCGAATGCTCTTTGTTCTCAAATAATTTAACATGGCAGTTCTACACTTGGTCTTAACATCTGTTGAGAATCTTAGGCTCTCGTCTAAGTAGGCACCTAAGTATCTTATGACATTTTGAATTTTATCACCGGCGATATCAATTTCTTTAATTGAACATTTACCAAGTTGGGCTTTACTACCAAACATAATGAATTCTGTCTTAGTGGTGTTCATTTTGAGTTTATTGGCATTCATCCAGTCATTGATGATTATAGCACTGTCTTCAAGTTGATTTATAGCGTTAAGTTCATTGGTCACTGAAGTTGGTCGAAAGCGTTGACTAGCAATGTGGTCATCAGCAAAGCCGTACACAGATATGGTTGGTGATATCACATCAAATAGGGTTCCCGCATATGTGAGATAGAGCCACGGACCAAGACAGCTCCCCTGATGTGAACCAATAAACTGTATAATAACTGTTCATATTACATAACAGTTGTCAAAAATGATGAAAATGATATTTCATATTGTTTGTCTTTAAACCTCTCGTATAGTCACACCAACCTGGGCAGATTTTATGAAATATTAAAAACTATATATACAAATTAATATTTAATAAATTGAATATCTGATTTTCCTTACAATAATTTTGTCTTTAGATAGAAACCTTTCAATAATAATAATAATAAATAATAATAATAATAATAATGATGAATGATGATGGTGATAATGATTTTAGAGAGAGGAGAGTTTCCATTCAACTATTTCGGATAAAAATTTCAAATTATAAATACATTGTATATTTTTTTGTGAAATTATACATTTTAGAGATACAGTAGAAAGGAAGGAAAAATACGTATTGGTGGCATCCTTCGCAATGGACAAACAAAAAGAACAAAACTATGTTCGGCTTAACTTGATGGTTGTCAAACTTTCAACCCTTGTACTTAAAGCTAGGTTTGACCTCACTGTCCCACCAGGACCACAACTTCACCAAGAGATAAACAAATTCACAAAGAAAATCAACAATGGCAGAAGTAAAAAGCTGAAAAATCAGAAGCAATATGATTTGCTTTTCCCAAAAACTGGTCCTCCGAGCTCAGAAAGATTCGATATCACTTTGTTGGTTTATTTGTTGAAGAATATATGCCGACTCGATGGCAAATGTAAATGGTGGGCTGAGAAAGACAACAAAAATATACCCGAAACTGAAGTTGGGGAAGTTGCAGATATTGTACGGATTCGAAATGAGGTAAAATATTTTCTGAAGTGTTTGTCTTTTAGCACATGTAAATTATAATAAAGTGATATAAGCTAATATTTTTAGACAAGTCAAAAACACTTTTAAATGTTTTAATATTAATATTTAGTTTATTTGTTAACAAAAAAAGAATAGCGTTGGCCTAGCGGTTAATGCGACTGCCTCTCTACCCTGGGATCATTTATTCGACCCCTAATCGGGCCACGACCATATTTTTTTTTATGTTATACCAGTACTGGTTGGCTTCAGGAATCGGACACGAAAATGATAAATATAAGTTTCAAGAACTTGTTTCACAATCGAGCTTAAAGAAAATGTTTAAATCAACAACAACAAAATAAAAAACACAAACAATTACTTCTTTACTGGTGTTTATGTATTGTGCTTTTGCTTTCAGATTAATCATCTACAAAAAGCAATTCTAGATCAAAGGGCCTTCGGAGAAAAGTGGGACATTACTGAAAAGGTGATTAGAAACCTTATTTGGCAAAACTGGTTAAATACGTATCACATAGATCTTATACGTTTAAAAAACCACGTAGTAAATAAATGTTATTTTCTTATTGCTTTGCTTTAAAGCCCCATTTACACAGTCCCGGTTTGGTGTCCCGGTTTGCTTACCGGGATCAACCGTGGTTAACCGGCGTAGAGTCGTATCGATTCCGCGAAGTACCGGTACAGTTGGTGAACCGGGACAAACCGGGAGATCGCCACGGTTGTGTTTAAATGTTTAATACAACCGGGGCTCACCGACACTCACTAGCAAGGAAACCCATGACCGTGTTCTATCGGCTTGGCACCGGGAATCGCCGGGGAACCACCGTATCTATACGGCATCCATACCATGACAAACCGTAGTAAACCGGGATTCATGTTAATAATTGTTAAAAAAAAGGTAGAGCCCCGGTGATGACATGATGTAAACAGGCAGAGCTACGGTCATTGGCGACAACGCTCCGGTTGAACTAGGTAATGTCCCGGACGCATATTGTTGTCAAGTCCCGGTTATACAACAGTGATAGACGGTGGCGTCACAACCTCATGCCGATAACAGGCAATTTTAAGAACAGGCATATATACACTTGAAAAGCTACTGTGGATAATTTTGTTAAGTGAAATCGTAGAAGGGCCATTCATTGCTATTTCTTCTGAGGTAAGCTTTCCTAACTGCCCTTCCCTGAGTCGTTTCCAAAGGTACCTCAACCTCTGCAGGCGTTGTAAGCACAGTTTTCCCAACTTTGTTCCCCTTTCCTTTGGGTGGCATCTCTGCTGCTGTTTTGCAAAATGACTTATGTCAACGTGTTCAAGCAGTTTTATTCTCAAAAATTGAAGCATCGGCGCATTACCGCGGTGTCACCGGGACAGTACCAGCATCACCCGTAGCTTAGCCGTGGCGAAATCTACGATGGTCGGAATGGACCGTGATGAAACCGTGTCTAGTCGGGTCTCCACTGGGATCAACCGGGAGTACACCGGGTTGGCATCGGCACTTATCGTATATATCCGGTGCTTTATCGGTTACTGAATCGTGAATACACATGAGCTCTGTTGGGGATGTGTAAGCGCAATTTGATCTTTCAGAAAACACCACGGAACACCCCAGTTCACCGGTTTAAGTCACCGTTGCGATACCGTGGCCATAACTGGATCAGTGTAAATGGGGCTTAACGAATATAATAGTTCCTCAAACATGGTTTTTATTTTTTTCACTGACTACAGCTGTATTTCAACATTTGGCTTATCTTAATTTAAATAAATAAGATAATGGCTATTTTAAGTCAGAACAAATTTATCTAAATGTCTCAACTAGACACAACTAATTTATCTCTTAAACTGCAATGAATACATTTAAACTCATGTATTTCAGTACATAAGCAGTATATTAATATAAAGTGGGGGGTATTATTTTCATTTTCTATTTGATATCATTACAGGCAATTTTGCGCTTAGGGGCGATGTGTAATTTGCCTGACTTGAAGAACGAAATAGATACAGTAAAGATCAGCCGTTCGAGACAATAATAATGGAATCTCACGGATTTGATGACGATTACGGATATGACGGTGACGATGAGGAAATGTATAATAACTATAATGATTATGATCACATTGACGATTATACGGAGGAATACGACCATGATAACTATGATAACAATGATTACGATGATGACGAAGATTACAATGATTACGAAGATCACGATTATTACGATGCTCACGATGATTACAATGATCACGATGATTACAATAATGAAAACAATGATTACGATGATGACGATTATTACGATGCTGAGGATGATTACAATGATGACGATGATCATGATGACCACGATGATGTTTACAATGATCATGATGATTACGATGATAATGATGATAACACTGATTACTATGATCACGATGATTATGGTGATAACGATGATTACAATGATCATGATGATCACGATACTTACAATAATTACACTGATCACGATGATGACGATGATTATGATGATCACGATGATTACAATGATAATTACAATGATCATGATGATTACAATGATTACAATGATCATGATGATTACGATGATCACGATGATTACAATGATCATGATGATTACAATGATTACGATGATAATTATGATCACGATGATTACAATGATCATGATGATTACGATGATCACTATGATTATGATGATCACGATGATCATGCTGATTACAATGATCATGATGATTACGATGATTATGATGATCACGATGATTACAATGATCATGATGATTATGATGATTACGATGATTACAATGATCATGATGATTACGATGATCACGATGATTATGGTGATAACGATGATTACAATAATCACGATGATGACCATTATGATGATCACAATGTTTACATTGATCTCGATGATTACAATGAGCACGATTATTACGATGATCCTGATGATCACAATGATTACAAAGGTCACGATGATATCGGTAATTATCATGATCACGCTGATAACGCTGATCATAATGATCCCGATGATTACGGTGGTCACTTAATTCTGAAAATGATCAAGATAATGGTTATGGCAATGATAATAATAAATGGAATGCTAATAATGATGATTTTAATGATTATCGTGAAAATGATCAAGATAATGGCAATGATAATAATAACTGGAATGCTGATAATGATGACTTTAATGATTATCGTGAAAATGATCAAGATAATGACGATGATGTTCATAACTGGAATGCTGATAATTTTGATGTAAATGATTATCAAAACGACCAATATGACGTTTGTGATGAAACCTTTCACTATCTGAATCAAAAAATGATTATAAATAATGGTGTTTTTAAATCTTATTAACACGTTTAATATTTAATATATAAATACTTCTATACAAGGTTTGTTAACATTAACATTTAAATACCAAGCACTATATTTTCTACTTATGAAAAAGTATTATTTGAAAGTAATCAGTAATTTTCACAAACTAGATAAGTACATGTCTATATGTTTTGAATTTCAATACGGACAAGTTACGGTTTTTTCATGCGAGCAAGTGTCAGTTATATTTAACAAATATTTTGTTGTATAATTTATACAATTCCTAGTATCTATTTCAAACATTCTGATATTACAAACTTTATCAGGCAATGCTAATTAAAGAAAAATGAAGGGCGAGGATGGCGAGGATCTGTAAGAAATAGTCCAAAATGTTTTTTGTCTAATGTAAAAGGGACGTTAATATCCATCAATTCTATTTGATTCAAAGTTGATCAGTTTAACATTTTAAACTAGTAACATGTAAAAATATACAATTACTTTCGATTTATTTCAATATGCATTGATGAGATATCTGATGAAGCTAAAGGTGACCGATTAAGCATTAAGCTAAATTTATCAGGCATGTTCACATCAATAGAAATCAATGTGATGACATTATAAACATTCTTATATATTGATCACGTCATGTATACAAGCTCTGTTTAGATTATATATAGAGGATATTTGTTTGTTTTGCATGTAAGATTGAAATATAATTTCACTGAGTGAACACCAGATGCAATATTTTCACGAGTGGCGTAGCCACGAGTGAAAATATAATAGCTGGTGTTCACGAATGAAATATATTTCAATCTTATATGTAAAACAAATAAATTTTCTTTTTATTTCATGCTTTTTAAGTGATTTTAAGTATTTTTTACTGATTTTGTCGCGTAACGTCGCGCATTCTCCTTTGTGACGTCATCACATCATGACGTCACATCATCAATTTTGAAATATAGTTCTGTTAGATTTCTCTTATTTTGTTACATTTTAACCATGATTTATGGTGACATCGACTTTCTTTTCCTAAAGAAGCAAAATTTACGTATGACGGCATTTATTTCTGCCTGTTATTCCATTTAGTTATGATTTTCTTTTCATCCGCATTCAGATATAGTCCGGCTACAGTAAAAAAATTATATTTTATAAATTTCACTAGTGGTTTATCAGAATTTATTACATGCTTTTCGGTGGTTTATAGAAATATATCGGTGAAATAAAACTGGTAATTTCACTGTTTGAAACAGTGAAATTACCACTTTGATAATTTCACTGTTTTGAATTTAATTAAGCCCCTTACGTGGTTACAGTGAAATACCAGCGTTCACAGTTCTGGGTACCAACTTAATGACGTGACGTCGTAAATGACGTCACGTCGTATTATTTTTTGGCGCGCTTTTCATTCAGTATTTGGTTTAATGTCTTTTTAAAACGTTTCTTTGCATATAATAAAAAGAAAATTTGTTTAGTTTAGTGTAAGATCGAAATATATTTCACCTTGTGAACACCAAAAGTCCATATTTCACTCGTGGCTGCGCCACTCGTGAGATATACCTTTTGGTGCTCACTCGGTGAAATATATTCCGAGCTTACACTGAACTAAACAAATATCCTCTATATAATCACCTGATATATTACAATAAAACACTGGTAAGCATGAAATAAATATATTTATCACACACCCGTGCCGATTTTGCGACTCCGTAAAAATGGTATTGCACGGCCGTGCATATATTTTGACGTGCCGTCATTAGCGTTATACAAACATAGTGTAAAGACGCGCTATAATGTTAGCGTTATACTATAGGCGAGTCAATGAAAAATGACTCTTACAATTCTGCCAAGGGAGGTAATGCCTAGGAACTTCAAACTTGGTATGGTGATTGGTCATGACCAGCAGATGACTCCTATTGATTTTGGGGTCAAGGGGTCAAAGGTCAAGGTCACATTGACCTTGTAGGTAAAAACGGTTTCCGATCAATAACTAAAGAATGCTTAGGCCTAGGAACTTCAAACTTGGTATGGTGATTAGTCATGACCAGCAGATGACCCCCATTGATTTTGGGGTCAAGGAGTCAATGGACAAGGTCACATAGACCTTGTAGGTTATAACGGTTTCCAATCAATAACTAAAGAACTCTTAAGTCTAGGAACTTCAAACTTGTTATGGTGATTGGTCATGACAAGCAGATGACCCCTATTGATTTTGGGGTCAAGGGGTCAAAGGACAAGGCCACATTGACCTTTTAATTAAAAACGGTTTCCGATCAATAACCAAAGAATGCTTAGGCTAAGGAACGTCAAACTTGGTATGGTAATTGGTCATGACCAGCAGATGACCCCCAATTGATTTTATGGTCAAAGGTCAATGTCACATTGACCTTGTAGGTAAAAACGGTTTCCGATCAATAACTAAAGAAAGCTTTGGCCTAGGAACTTTAAACTTGGTATGGTGATTGGCCATGACCAGCAGATGACCCCTATTGATTTTGGGGTCAAAGGTCAAGGTCATATTGACCATGTAGGTGAAAACGGGTTCCGATCAATAACTAAAGAACGCTTAGGCCTAGATACTTCAAACTTTGTATGGTGATTGGTCATGACCAGCAGATGACCCCTATTGATTTTGGGGTCAAGGGGTCAAAGGTCAAGGTCACTTTGACCTTGTAGGTAAAAACGGTTTCTGATTAATAACTAAAGAACCCTTTAGGCCTAGGAACTTCAAACTTGGTATGATGAATGGTCATGACCAGTAGATGACCCCTATTGATTTTTGGGTCAAGGGGTCAATGTCATATTGACCTTGTAGGCCTACTTAATGATGGTTTCTGACCAATAACTCAACATCTCAAGTTGCCTTGGTTGATATTTTTATATTAAACTAAAAATGCTTTTGGTATACACATTTGAAGGTCTTTTTGTAATATAACTACTTGGCTGTCATTAATGAGGCCTACATGATTTTCCTCCAATTACAAAGTCTTTCGATAAATTTAATGGACCAGACGGCTATGAACGAAGCTATCCGATTATGTGGCCCCAGCTTTGCCGTGTGCAAAATGCGCAGCGCTTTTAAGTTTGGGAACCACATAATCGGATAGCTTCGTTCATAGCCGTTTGGTCCATTGAATTTATCGAAAGATTTTGTAATTGGAGGAAAACGGCGATAATCTTGATGTTTATTTCGGCTGTTGCGTTGTTTATATTACCGTTGAAGTTTAAAATTGACCATCATCGTGAAGAATTATATCTTCTGTGTCGATGGACCAAAGGATTATGTGAAAATATTGGAAATGGAATAAAATACATGGTGATTATGACGGTAGGGGTGCGAATTTTTTCCGGCGAACATTTTTATCTTGTACTGTATTATTACACGGAGTTGAATAGAATAGTGTATGTATATCTGTGATTATTATAGATGTTGAAATATGATTTTTTTTTCAAAACGGCTTATATTAAGTTTT